TGAAAGATGCATATCATCAATAATATTTTATTATTACATTGCGAATCCATGTATGTATATATATATATATATATATATATATATATATAATAGACAATCAATTATATGTTTGTATAGAGCAAATAGATATGTAGATATAATTGCAATAGTAATCAATTTGCAAAACATCCGTACAACGTTAAAGCTTCATTAGTTTTCATATAAATTTACAAAATATCTTATATTATATAATATGATATAATATATTATATCATATTATATATAATCACTTATATTATATAATATCATATAATAATAAATCTTCTACATATTCTTCTACAATTTCCCTACGGTAAAATGAAAAATTTCATTTAAAAATCCCTTCTGCACACATGATTATTAATAAATAGAAAAAGCAACTCACTATTGACTATTATTTACGAGAGCCGAATTAGCTTAAACTATAATAATGAAAAAATGCATATATTTGAAAGTTAAATTTTTCATGGATAAAGCATATAAAATATATTTCTTTCATTGATTTTGCATTTGTATAATCTACTTCACTTCATTGGCTATTAAAACAAAATAAATTCTAATTAATCTCACATGTCATTACAATTTATTTATTTAATGATAGATTTGCCCCCAGATTTCGTGCCTTTATCGCTTCATATGCATATTTATTTCAAGACAACAATCTACTTACACGAATAAAGTGTTACATCGACGCTCCATGTTATTTAAGGTAATTCGACTGACTAATATTCATTGCATTATAGTAATTTTGAATGGCGGTTTATTACTATTTGAAATACTACTCAAATTCACTGTAATATCAGCTACCACAGAAATAGACGTTTGCAATGTACTATTAAACAAAAATAAACAAAAATACCGTACCATTACTGCAGTGTTGCATGAAAATTGTATTATCAACTCATACATTTTTCATGATATTCTATCAGTGCATATACATTGAAACAATAAAATGAATTGCAGTGATACATATTAAGTAAATATTCGAAGAAGAGAAAAACGTATGTTGAAGAAAAGCGTTATATAATTATATCACTTTTTTTTTTTTTTTTGAATATTTGTATAAAATAATTATCAAAAGCCCCGCTTGTTTCGTCAGTTTTATTCATAAGAACTTTTTACATGAGGTTTATATTGGCATCTTTATTTATTGCTGACAACGATCTTTATTCGTGAAAGAAATTAAAAAGTATTGTAAATTTATTCATTTAAAAACAATATGTGCAATAATGTGCTTTTATGTGCCTATATTTCAAGCTAATTGTTATTTAGGTATAAATAATTAATATAATTTTTGCTAACCAATAATATCAATCGTTCCTATTACAATTTTAAGTTCCTTCTTACACTAAAACTTCTTGCCTACATGTTTAGTACTAAAATAATATATAATTCTACTTTACTTTATTATAATCTTTATATTATTTATTTTATATATTTATTTTATATAATTTATATTATTGTATAACGTATATTAACAATTTAACATATGTTTTGTTCTATATATATATATGAATTTAAATACATTATGTTAATAACATACAATTTTTATATGAAAGAAAGCAATTATTAATTATTTCGAAATTTAAATTATAATTAAATTTATAAAATACTCGAACTATATATTGACTGGCAAACATGTAACTTTGAAACTTATTTTGTAAACAAAATTTTCAATATTTATTATTTATTATTCTATCACTTAGTAACATATAATTCTACTTATTATTATTAATAAATCTAAAAAAAAATTGTATTATCTAGCTTGGTAATTTGATTAGTAAGTAAGTAATGATTTGAAGAAAATGTTTAACGTGTAGTATTTTAGTAGGGAGTGAATAATCAAATGTTACGCGATAACCATGTATAAACATAATATTATCGTTATTATTAAATATTCTTAACAATAACAAGCGTTTTTAAATTTTAAATATTAATTACAGAAATACTGTAATATAGGGGAATCATATAATACATAATCGTAATCAGTTATCTGCAAAATATTATTGTAGGTAATTTAAAAGTACGTAATTTAGAGAAAATATTAGAGTAAATAAAATAAAACTGAAAAAAAAATTAACCTTTGCGTATTTAAAAATAGAAATAAACTTGGAAACTAGGAGTGCCAAGGTTATACCCACAGAGATAATAAAATTTAAGAATGTTACCAATAACTTTATCCCGTAGATTCAAAGTAGGCTTTACCATTTATTAGGATGAAAATAATTAATCCAATAGGTTCCATTAAAAAAAAAAAAAAAAAAATCTGAATCTTGAAGAGGTATGAGAATCTAGAAACTATTATAAAAAGACGAAATATCAAAGCTCGCAAGTTGGCCGGAATTTTGTTTCCAGATAATATACAACGAATTATATCTCTATAATTGTAAAATTTATTCGTAATATCTCTGATAAATTATAAGGAATTATTTATTGGCCACGGTAAATAATAATCTTGTACTTGCATTAGGTCTTCTCAGGACGTTCATCCTGATAAACTAAATATATCTCTCGAATTGTTAAACGCTCCTATAAAATTTTTGCTTATAAAGTCACCAATTTACGAAGGGAAGTACCGAGTAGGGGAGAGGTAGGATTTCACAGGTGGTTAGTCATAGAAATGTCATTACATTTTCACATGCGATATAAGAGAGACGGTCGATTAAAAAATGTTTAATACTGCTGAGGCGTGGTGTGTAATTTTTTTTAAAAAGGCACGAACGTGGTAAGGGCGCACCTTGCCATCCGCGGAGGAGCGATTGGATGGATAATGCGTTTTTAAACTGCTTTGCTCGGTCAATAATATAATACAAGTGCATAGCCAAGGTTCCTGTATTCACGCACCAACGTGTCAGACTCGTTGCCACCCACCCCGTGACGCACACTTTGAATATCGAGTCTGACAATTTGGTCACGGACGAATTCACCCAGCACCCTTTCCTATCAGCCTAACTTAGTAATTAGGCAGGGCATACGTGTGCCTCGGAACTTATGCGAACCCTCGTGTTTCCTCCGAGGTCACCTGCCAACTGTAAGCGCTTTCCGGCCTTAAGCGAACTTTAGACTCTTTTCAGCCGGAAACTCTTTTACTCCTTGATTGCTTCCTATCTATTGAGCTTTTTAACTTGATGATAGAGAGAGAGAGAGGGAGAGAGAGAGAGAGAGACTTTGTTGTTTGGGTGTTACGTCACAGGGCGGTGAAGCTTTTCTTAATTTGTGTGAATTTTTAAATTGTGACATCTCGATAAGGTTTAACATTCACTACATTACACATGCCTCGATGAAATGATACTTAAACTACTAACTATAGTATATTGAAATTGATAGTAATTAATAGTCATCCAATAGTCTATTAAAATTTTAATATTAATTTTACATTGTAAAACGTGGCTGATCAAACGAATCCGCAGTTCAGTTTTTATATTTTCAATTCATCCCTATAATTTTTTACAATATAAGAAAGATTATTAGTCAGCATTTTTTAAATGAATCTTGTAAGATGTAGTATATGACATTTTTTTTCAAACTACATTATCATACTCCACGTATGATAAAATATTATCAAAATCATAATATATTAAATTCATTAACGTTGCGATAATTAATAATATTTATAAAATTTTAATAAACAACGTTGGAAAGATTACATTTTTAATTCACTCAATTTAAAATTTAACTGCATTATTATAATTTCCGTTTCAAATTATTCTTAAGGATAATCTTAAAATCCTTGAAATAGTTAATCAATTAGTTATTAATGTCAATTTTAAAATTACGTTTAATTTAAAAATAATTAAAAAAATATGGCGAATAAAATATAGACTATTAACAATATTTAATCGATTTACTTCTGCTGTAAATGCTCAAGTAGTGAGTTATATATTTTACTTATAGCTTCTACACTTTGTTATTAAGTAAACAAGAATTATAGACTATTGTTTAAAAATATTTATATAAATTTATTATATATCCCACTTTTTATAGTAAATATCGAATAGGGCGAAATTAGAAGCAATTATAATTTAAGTAAAATGTTTACATATCAAATTGTTTAAAAATTCACTGTAGCCAATAGTTCAGGTACAGGAGTGTGGAGTTTTCCGGATATTTTACATTAGTAATACAAACGCAACATAAAATAAGCTCATAGTCATATAATTAATTGGTTTAGGTGAATATTAGTATAATTCGATACGGAGTAATAAAGCAAAGATTAAACATCATTTTCATGTCGCGAATCGAGCATTTCAAATACAAAAATCTGTAACTAATGTGTCATTTAACCACATAATTTCTTTATAAAGACAGATTTAACCAATACATTATCAATATTTATATTTACATTGTTTGTATAATTTTTTTCTCTAAATATTCTATATTAAAATGACATTGAATTATCCATATAATATTATATTTATATAAAAATAACCACCTATGATGAGAACTCGTATGTTAATAAACATACTCGTGTTCATTTATGATATTATTATCATTAATTACTTTATGATTAAATTCATTCAACTAACATAAATTAAAAGTAATTCACTTTTACATAGTCTAGTCAATAATTATTGAATTTCAATTTTATAATTTGCAAAATTGAGCTATATTAAATGCCATAATGATTTACTAAATTTTGGATTTTCAAGAATATAGATTTAAAATATTTGAAAATAAATTAAATCAAATAATTGAATTAATGAAATAACAGTTACTTGACAATTAAATAATAAATTTACGGTGGAAAATTTGCAAATGACAAGTGCAGCTATTTTAAAAATACATTATACCATTTATTTTTAATAAGTTTTGAATAAAGTCCATGAAAGATATTAAATTAAATGATAATTTCTCTAAAATGCAGTAAGTAATTTATTACAATCATTATTTACAAATTATGAAAATTAATTCTTATATATTCAAAAATAAATTGATTTTAGTATTGTCATTTACTATGCCTAGTTAACCAAAGATGGAACTTAAAGAACTAAAGGTATTTGCAGTTGTCGAAGGATGAATTTTCATCGCAAACATTATTTAGCGATCTTTGCGTGCCTATAATCAAATTCATCTAATTTTGAGTCAGGATCTGTCGACGAATAAGTCTAAAAACAATACAATAATGAAAATTAAATCTTTTTATAACGAATGAACTTATATTAAATATTTACAAAACATAAACAATATTGTTGAATTAACAATCAAAATGAAAGCTGACACTTCAATGTTTAAGCATAAAGAGAAGAAATTTCATTGAAAATTGAAATATTATGAAAAAAATATTTAATATATCAATTTCTACGTTTATTCATTATCATTGAAATATAAACTAATACATAATGATAAATATGGCATAGACAAAAAAATTTACACACTAGTTAATTAGCTTATGAATTATTACTTACTCTTTTTCTTGTTGGTTTACTGTTTTCGCTGCTATTAGTCTTCTCGTTACAAGTATCAAAACTCTTAACACTATCACAATCATCAATGGACTGAAGTAATTATTATTATTATATTATACTGACAAATATTAATGTAATTTATCAAGTCAGCATTCTAATAAAAACTCACCCATAAATCTTTATATTCTGGTGAAATACTTTCTAAAAATAATAGACGATCTTCTATATTTTTTATCCTTTTGTATACATCTCGAGGCACTGGTTTATTGATTCCTAATATTTTTTCTGATACGGAAAGTCTTTCTTCAAGAGCCGAGGGATAAGTATTGGATTCGTTTTTTAATGATTTGAACGGAGCATTGAACTCCATATTTTGTTGACTCCATTGATTGTACACCCTGTGCACTATAATTTAAATATATTAATTTTTAAAAAATTACGGCCATCCTTTAATTAATACGTCATTACCTTTCACGTGATTTACATCTTTATGTCTTATAAAAGTTGCGTTAACTCTAGCACAAACATGTGTATTATCATCATTATCGTCATCTTGGATTTGATTACTTTAAAAATTAAAAAAAATTTACTATATTTTGGTATATTTCACAATTGTTATTTATAATGAAACAAACCTCAAACAGCAAAATTCCTGTATGTTAATTAAATTTACTTGTTCACGTTTACGGGCAATAAAAGACTCTATTCTACGATTAAGTTCTTGATCATCGGCTTTGATTTGAATTTGATCTGGATTAATTAAAAATTCCTCGTTACCACTGTCCTCGTCCTGATCGTCCTGATCGTCGTTATTAACATTTTCCGATTTTACCTCTACTGTTTCGTAAACATTATCGAGATCTATCTCTATGTCATCGACAACCACATTAGCATAATTGATTTCATTCGTACTACTTTCTTCGTTTGATTTAATAGTTTTTCCCGCAGCAATTTTAGTATCATCTAGAGAAATATAAAATATGGAAAGGTTATAAAATTTATAACAATCGTTCCATAAAATCATACTTTTATTGTGAAAATTTTGTTTGAAACGCTCTTAAAAATATCAAGAGAAAAGTAATTTTTACAAAAATATTTTAAACATATATATATTGAAATATAGTCGATAAGAATAAGGCAAATGAAATATTGGTAAAAATTTTTAATTAAAGATTACAAATATAATTAAGATTTTATAACAAACATAAATCAAAATCACATTTACATAATTATTTTTAGCAATTTTAAGTTAAGACAAGTAAATAAATCTATTTACTTGCTGTCCAAAAGCACTCCTTATTCGCCTTCCATTGAGGTTCATCCTCTTCGTACACTTCCTTTTTCCATATAGGTACCGACGACTTTATCGCGTCTATGGTAAATTGTACCGCCTGCAACGATTCCTGCCGATGAACTGAAGAAATTGCAATCACAACGCTCGCCTCCATAATAGAAACCTCTCCCAAACGATGGTATATCGCTATTTTTTCAACGTTCCATTGCGAGCGTACTTTGTTACAAACGGCTTGCAATTCCTTGATGGCCATTGGCTCGTAAGCCTCATATACCAATTGTACAACCTATGTTTATATTTATGTTAATTATTATTTATTTAGATACATGACACATGACGCATATTTACACAAACTCAGAATCAAAAATCTAATTATACACCGATGACGCTCATTTTGTCAACTCAATTATCTTGTAAATTAATAAGGTCAATCTTAATGTCGATGAACAAAGTAGCATTAGCACGTTACAAAGAGCGTTGTTCCATACACACCTTCTTCTCTTCAAAATTATCTCTCGTTGTTCCAATGAATGTTGATATTGCCCCACAATTGGGAGATGCGACCATCTCAATTATATCATTAACGTTCAACTTTTCTATCTCGAGAGCAACAAAATTCTTTAAGTCAGCCATTTTACCCTAATCATTAACAAAAAACAAAAAACAAAAAAAAAGAAAAGAAAAGAAAAACAAAAAAAAAAATGGAAAGAAAATCATTGTATTAATAATAATCATGACAAAACAATAAAATCAGCATTGACATTCTATTAATATTTGTAATAGCAATAAAGTACCAGGCTTCATTCCAACCTTCATTAAACATTAAACAGCGACGTTAAATCTTAAGAAAAACTCGTACCTCCGCTAAGCGGTGGAATAACTGCTATTTCGTCCTTCTCGGTCAATTTGAGAAAAGCGTCGGGTTCGACGAACTCTTCATTAACAGCCAATATCACGATATCTCGAATGGTTTCCAAATTGAAAATCTCGATTACCTGGTCCTTTAGCTCGATAAATGAGATGAGGACCGGCACAACAATCTCCGACTCCTTAAATCCTGACAATTCACGTGCTTTCGCGAAGAATAAGATTTTCACGCGAGCACTTTTTCCTGTGGTATTCTCGCTCATTTCCATCCACATCCGAGCGACTATTCCAGTCTAACGAATAATATATCGACATCGTTATCTGCTTTCCCTTCTTTCCAATGCGAGCTACGTAAAATACTTATTCTACGACCTTATATAATGAGTAGCGAGGAAACAAGGTGGAACGAATAATCTTAATGACAGTGATAAAGAGCGAATACAACTCGACCAAACTCGACAATTTCTTACCCAACGTTTCTCTTAGGTTAGTTTAGTCCTACTTAGACCCATACTTAGCATTGCATGACAATTGATTTGAAATTGCTGGTATTAGTGGAGGAAGCGATATCAGGTACTACTATATATATATATATATATATATATATATATATATATAGCATAATTAAGCTAAATAATATTTTCCAACGTATACTTTAATTTTTAAATTGATATTTTACATATAATTTACTTCATTGGATTTCATTGGAATTTATTGTTGTTATTAGATAAATTGCTTTCCGCTTTTAATAATAAGAGAGCTTGATTTGAAGAAGAAGAAGAAGAAGAAGAAGAAGAAGAAGAAGAAGCAGAAGAAGATGATGAAAAAGATGATGATGAAGAAGAAGATGAAATTATTAAGCGCCTATAAATAAAGCGTCCATTGCTGCTTATCGAGTGGCCCCTTAAGTTTCAAAATCAATTTATCGATACCAGAATCTGCCGTTGAAGAATTATAATTTTAAGAATCGCGGGAGTGACAATTTTCAGCTATGTCGATTCTATCAAATATTCCGCTTAATTACATTGAAGTTCATTCAATTAAAATTCGTGTATTATAATTTCGATGAGATACGTTAAAATTATTCCAACTTACTTTTTCAACTAACGATAACTTGAAATTACCATTGTAAATGTAACGATAAGACATTTTGCGTCCCTTATTACCATAATAAAGTGTATGATTACGTAAAGGTAATTTTTTATTTTTTTTTTTTCTTTCTTCACTTCTTAATGCATAAAAAATATACTAGCTAAATAAATTTAAGCACCTTTTGAAATAATATGTATATATTAAAATAATAAGTAAAATCATTAATTTTACATGTTTATCGAATTAACGAGCCAATTAACAAAGATAATTAAAATATTATTCGAAATATTTCATGAATCAGAGACTGTTCGATTGATTATAATATGAATTACGTGTAAATATGCAATTAAATAGTCTATAAGGAATAATTGAAAATCTGATAAAATTGTCAAATTTTTATATAATCTAGTATTGGCATAAAAATATAATATTTAATAATCATATTTTTATTAAAATTGAAAAAAGACTTTCCAACAGTTGATAGTTTAATTATATAAGTCACCTATTACATTACAAAAGAATGTGAGTTTACAAAATCAGTTGAAAACTTATACATCATATAATATTACAGAAAGATAAAACTTACTTAATCACAATATAGTTATATCACATGCCGTTCATAATATAATTATAATATAAATAGTGCATCATTATTATATTTAATTCTCTCCGTTGTATTGTCAATAAATAAAACCAAAATATTTTGAAACATTTTCAAAGCAAACTCTTAAAAATTAATGAAATTCCATACTACACCTATTATTGCATTGTACGCCGACCATTAACAATCCACACTCCGTTATAACAATATACAATTTTATCGTAGAAATTATCAAAAATTTAGAATTTCCAGACATCAGGTATATATATTATATATTATTTCTTGTTTATATTTTCATTGTTTATTTAACGAATTTATTTAACAAATTATTCAACAATAAATACTTAATTAGGGTTTGAGTTATGAAAATTAAATTAAGTGTTTGGGTTTAACATTAGCAAACAATGATTTTTTTTCACAATAAATTCTAAACAAATTATTGCATCGTACCTGACATTTAATACTTGTTCATATAATGCAACTGAATAACATTATAATAAGTTTCAGCCGTAATAATAATAAAGGCTTTAATATTTTACAATAATAATAAATTGTCTAAGATATTGAAAGAATTACTAGCGATTTTGTTTCTCATTGTAAAATTTTACATAGCCATGACATTTCTAGCCTAAACAGAAAATGTAACTCCGTTTTCAAAAGTAAATTAGATTAAAATTAGATTAGATTCCTAATTTGGTGAATGGTGCAACGAATCAACAACATCGATGAATACGATTACACGATAATCAAAGCCAAGATCAACTTTTCTAATTAAACAAAAATTTCACGTTAAATAATTCAATTTTTCGTCAACGCCATTAGCATCAATTAAACAATCCTTATAATACGTTTGATATTAAATTTTTATCTAATATAACTTTCTTTCAACATTCCTTTTGATATTTTTTATAAATACAACATTATAAAAATAATAATTATTCGAGGTATTCGGTTGAATATGAATATTATATAAAAATTACGCGTACTAGTACTTTTTTAATTATGAATCCTAAATTATAATAATTGAATTTGATTATTAAATATAGCAGAAATAACTGATAAATGCGAATGCTATTTTCTATAAATTTATATATTGCATTAAAAAAGCTTTGTACATCAAATCAACGTGCGATTATCGCAAAATATTTCTACTCTTATAATATTATATTAAAGTTACGTGCAAAAAATAAATGGCCTGACTTTAAGAGATATAATTTAAGAAATGCTTACTTAGCATATAATTTATGCTCTACATAATATTTTATTCAAAACTACCTTCCCTTCATTTCATCTAATTAAAAATAAATGATAACATTAAAACATTTTAATTTCTATAATGCGATTATCATAATTAACTAAAATATTTATCAAACGGCCTATATTTCAATTAATAACAAAGTTGTAAAAAAATATAAAAATTTTATTTAATATTTATTTAATTTATCTAATTAAAATTTATAATTATAGATTTTTAAAAAGTATTAATTTTTCTCAAAATTGTCTTTACATTAATAATAAATTATTATAATAAATGAATGTAATTTTTTATATTCATATATTTTTTCTGTACCCAAAATCATACAAACTTCTACTTCTATTTATGTATTTTTTCATTTATTTATTTCAACAATAAAGCATTAACTTTAATTAATTATTTCTCAGTAAAACTTTTTGATTTATAATTCAAAAATTTAATCGAAAAATATGTATTAAAGTTGCTCTTTAATTTTTAATTTTTTTCTTTGTTTATAAGCGTATTGGTTTTGAGATTGGCGTTATTAGCTTAAGATTACGATTTCAGCATAATTAAATAATAATTATGTAGATTATGATTGATTTATTTTTTGTATAATCACGAATTAGGAATAATACAATGAAGTGCGTAACTTTATTATTAATTAATAAATAATTGCTTTACGTATTTATTTATAAATATTTTATAAGAAATGCATGTTATTAATTCCAGAGAAATTTTAAGTTATTATTATTGTAAAACCATACGTGTTAATTTTTATGTTTGGGCAGGGAAAAGCATATTGGACTGAAACGTAAAGCCTATTTATTTGAAATTAATTCCGTATGTATTATACTTTTCTAACTGCTTTGAATATTTCGAAATTTCAAAGAATTTATCTTTATATACAACGAATTTTATACCATAAATTAATTTCTAATTAATGATTTTTACACGCACGCACACACGCACGCACGCACGCACGCACGCACGCACACACACCTTAGGTACCATTTATCATTTTTATTTAATCAACATTATAGAGTATTGTAGTAAGATATGTTTTGTAACAATATCTAACGAGGATAAAAATATACTTACTAATTTCATTAATCAACCAATAATATTTAATTTTTATATATTTAAAACTTGAAAATTATAGTTCCCGATGTTATACAAATCGTTAAGTCTATTTTTCTTTAGAACTTTAAGAAAACATTTTTTTTTTTTTGCCTAATGTTTTAATAATAATAAATAAATGCACTAATTAATTAATTAATCTTATCTCTAAATAATAAAAGTATATGTTTGCTGATAAAATTTTATTACAAATCGCCTTGGTCAATATTGCTTATACGCATACTTTTATACTTAATCATAAACATAATTCTACATTTATCATTTACAATTATCGATCGGACATTAATTGAGATTGTAAAGATACTGCCATATTGCACTAAGAAATGTATTATATTGTTTGTGCATAGCAGCCTTAATTAAAATACAAATAATGCTTTAAAAGTAATTTTTATATAAATTATAAAAATCGTCAATCACCGTTTATTCATTGCATTTTTCTTTACGCAATCATGTAAATGTCAAGCCAAGCAGCCGTAATTAAATATTCAAATTTCCCTTATTTTATACAGAATATATAATATTGCCAAAAGAATAGTTGAAATTCGAAACGCAAATTCCCTTATGTTTACACGCGAATATGGAAATTCTATTAACGATACCGTATTACAGCATCTACAAAATGTTTATTACACCCACGCATATATAACTCGCCACTCAGCCACTTACAGTACTACGCAACATTATAAAATATCAATTATATGTATTATAAAAATTTCAAACGCGCGCACAGACACGCAAGCAAAATTGTCATTTAACCGCGTGTCTACTAAATACATGTCAAATATTGTCATGCAGCGGTAGGTTTTCCGTTTAAATATGAGGTTTAAATTGTGTGCGTGTGCGCGCCAATGTGCTTGTTTTATCATTTCCAACAATTAAAATAATTGACGGACTTATAAATAAAAGTGGCTATTTACAGTAAAATCGCATAAAGCATCTTTCCATTGTCAATGGAACAATCAGCAATCGAACGTAGCAACGAGCAATCTAAACAAGCGTCACGAAATTTGCCGCGGCACTTGAATTCATTTAGACGCTCATTCGTCAAAATCATCGGCCAAACATAAGCAATGCATAAGCAAAAGTGGAGAGCCTTGGATGATCGAGTCGATGGAGAATCGAAGTCGAGGTTCCCCGAAGACGATTCCCAGGCGCTCATCGCTGTCGTCCAGCCTCGGGCACCGCCTCCAGCAGGCACCTCATGTCTCGCGCGTCGAGGTAGCCGAGCACGCGCTCGAGGGGCACGCTCGGAATGAAGGCGCCAAGGAGTTCCGTCAGTCGTAGACTCGCCTTCTCCAGGAGAGGCTCGTACAACATACCCACATCGAGGTTTCGCTCGAGCATATCGGCGTAGAGTGGGAAAAGGTTACGTTGCCTCCGTGCCTCGAAAGCCGCTTGCACTTCGGGCTTTCGTACCAGCATAACGAGACTCCGCTTGCTCGCCCTCAGGAAGCCAAAATACGTGGCCTCCTCGCAGAGTCTTGTACGCGCCATCGCCTCGACCTCCAGAACGCATGTCCGCTCGTACCCGAGGCCGGCGTCATGCGATTCCTCCACCCCTGCCTCCTCCACCCCTGCCTCCTCCGCCACCTCCTCCTCCTCCTCCTTCTCCTCCTCCTCTAATCTACAATTTAAGCAATGTTAAAACAATGAACCAATTCTCATCACGTCATCATAGCGCGAATGAAAGTCGCGCCTTGGCCTCGTGCTCCTGTCTACGCAATTATCATCATCATCATTATCATCATAATCATCGTCATCGTGATCATCGTCATCGTGATCATCATCGTCATCATCATCATCATCGTCATCATCATCATCATCATTATCATTACCCCCTTTCTCAACGAGACTGTGCAGACCCGGACCGACAGGGAGTCTGGCGACTTTACACCTGATCGCGTATTTGCCGAAGACGCGCTTGAGTTCGGGGCTCGCGACGAGCTGGATCGCGGTGTAGCCCCCGGCGTCCAATTTGGCCGCGTCTGCGCCAAAGACGAGGAGCTGCTCGACGCACTCGGCGTCACCGTTCTCCGCTGCCAGGTGTAGCGGGGTACGCCTTCGCGAAGCCTCCTCCGCGTCTACCTCGGCGCCACGGCGCAGCAGGCCCCGAACGAAGGCGCCGCAGCGACGGCGCACAGCCAGATGCAGGGGAGTCTCGCCGGCGGGTCGCGTGCGGCCCCGGACGTCGGCTCCGTGGCGCAATAGTCGTGCAAAGAACGTGTGATCCGGTCGCAGGTAGAGAAGCTTCGCGTGCTCGGCTGTGACGGCGAGGTGCAGAGCGGTGCAGCCCTCGGCGTCCGCGGCGTCGACGTTCGCTCTGTGACCGGCAAGGGGCTCGAACAACTCGAGATGTCCGAGCCGTGCCGCCAGGTGCAGCGGCGTCTGGCGCGCTGCGTCCGTTGCGTCGACCTCGGCCCCGTGGCGCAGGAGCGTGCGCACACTTTGGAGGCAGCCCTGCTTTACGGCCGCGTGAAGGGGCGTCTGGTGCGCGGCGTCCCGGGCGTTGGCGTCGGCGCCGTGGCGCAGAAGGAGCTCGAAGGCCTCGGTGCGCCTTGCCTCGACGGCCGAGTGCAGGGGCGTTTTGCCGAGGGCCTCGGCTCGGTTGGGGTCCGCGCCCCGCTGGAGTAAAAGTTCGAGCGCGCACCAGTTCTTCTCGGCGACGGCGTAGTGGAGGGCCGTTTTACCGAAGCGCGTGGCTGCGTTCACGTCGACACCCTGACGCAGGAGGGCCGCCAGCAAGTCGAGCTCGCCGCGCTTGACCGCCAGGTGAAGGAGGCTCGCGCCGGCGGGGCCACGTACGGCCGGGTCGGCGCCGTGTTGCAGCAGCAGCTGAAAGAGCGGCTCGTTACCGGCGTCCACTGCCAGGAAGAGAGCCGTCAACTGACCGTGGTCGCGCTCGTGGACGCGCGCACCCCGTTCCAGGAGTAGCCGCGCGACCGCGAGGTGACCGTCCCTCGTGGCCAGGTGCAAGGCCGTACTACCGTAGCTGTCCGGCAGATTCACATCGGCTCCCCACTGGAGTAGCGACTCGACCATCTGCAAGGAGAAAAATGGTATTACTTCTCTACGTTAGTTTGCCTCACTTACGAATGCCTCGCGGGCACGTTTGCTTGTACACCCCCCCCCCCCCCCCCCCCCCCCCCCCCCCCCCCCCACCACCACCCGTCAACACCAGAACCACGCCGAATAAATATATCGTTGGAGCTTGCGCAGCGCACAGTGATTGCGTTGGCTTGATATTTCCTTGTAAATGAGATATTTTTTCAAGTTATAGTGAGTCGAATTTTTATGCATCGGCGTTATTTCCTTTTCTTAACTTTTTCTTTTAGCATTGTCCCGTCGAGATATTGCTGATTTAAATCTTCTTGCGCGAGTTGATGACTGTTACGAATTGCATTGTATTCCTAAATTATGGCTATAAGCTTTCCCAATGTAACTGCTCACCTCTTCATAAGTGACGCGCTTATAACAACAAACAAGAACAAAATAAAGAAAATAGAGGAGTCGCGAGAAAACGTCCGCATACGATACTTCGAACAATTCTAATGTCGAACAACAACATTAGGAGAATTAGTTTTATAGGAGGATCTTATCCTAGATTTAGATAGATTACAATGACATGATCGTGTAAATTTGACTCAGGGGGATTCGAAGGCAATAGTGTTGGAGCTAATGGGTGGTATGAGAACGGCACAGAAACACACACGCACCTTTACGTGATTCCTCTCGACGGCGCAGTGTAGATGCGAGTATCGGCGGTTGAGGTCACGATCGACGACGATTTCGTTGACGTCACAGCCATGACTCGCGAGTAGCTCGACCGCTTCGATGGATCCCGACCGAATGGCGAAAAACATCGGACTCAGACCTTCGTGGCTCTTGACTCGGGGATCAGCCCCGTACCTGAGCAGCAGCTCCATCGCTGCGATGTTTTTACGAAATGCGGCTACGTGGAGAGCCGTTGTCCCGCTAGAATCGGGATCATCGACACCGATACCCTGGTGCGCTAGTAAGTACTCTAGCATTTTTGTATGATCGTACATGGCTGCCAGATGTAGGGATTTCTGACTCAAGAGGCCGAGATCGACGTTGACGTTGACGTTATGGCGTACGACGCTTCTGACTAGTTCCGCGTACTTTGGATCATTCGGATTGTAATCGCCTATTGTGGAAAATGAAAATTATTCACATGGTTTATACGTGCGTTTATTCATTTATACGTGCGCTGTATAATAACTAATTTATACGTTGAAAATAATATCGTGTAAATAATTTTCCGAGGATTAATCATTGTAATATCAGCACAAATTGACATTATTGTTAATAAAGGAATGTTAGAGCAATGACGAATAATTAATAATTAAACGAAAGCTTTAACTTAAGTATTGGATTAATAAAATAAAAATACTTGACGATTAAGTGGATAACGAGTGTACTGAACATTGAAATAACATGCGAATAATCATGGAGTCGACTTTTCGATTAATATTGATACAGCCAAAATTTATAAGAGGCTGGTTCTTTTGATAATTCGAGTGTCTTGACAATTTTTAATAATTTTCAATTGACCTCCGTACCATTTATGAATAAGAAATGTACGTACCGAAATGTTCTCTTGTAGTGGCGCATAGAATAGATAGTCGTTGATAATCGTTGAAATCTTGTGAAAATAAAGAGTTTGCGAGAGCCACGTCTTGTTCAAGCTCAACCCCATGAAAAGTATACGATTGGTCGCATTGGGCGAGCTTTTGCTTCTTTTTGCACATTTCGTATTCCGAACGTGTCGAACAATCGCGGAGAAACATCGCTTCGTTTTCGAAATCACTATCTTCGTTTATGGTCTTTGTGAAAGGAACGCAACGAAGATCGGACGCCCTTTCAACTTTCAGCTTCTTGTTAACCATTCTTGTTACACTAAACGCTCTTGAATAAATTTAAAGTTTTTCTTATGTTTCCTTCTCTTTCTCTCTCTCTCTCTCTCTCTCTCTCTCTCTCTCTTTATATATATATATATATATATATATATCTTTCTTTAAAAAATATACTTTAAACTGTTCGTGACGTTCGTTAGTGGTGCATCATTTGTTCTCTTTTACACGTTAACGAAAACTATAAAGAAAGAAAAAACAGTTTTAAATATTAAAGCGAATCGGTGACGTGCATCATATTATTAAATAATTTAGACGCTAATTATAATTAGTCGTTATATGATGATATGGTAGCATTAGCACGAGCTTGTTTAAGACGAGTGAAAAAACATATAAAAGCAGCATCAATGTTTAAATGACATAGTTTAATTATTACTTATATGTTCATTTGTATTAATGAGAAATTACAATGTGAATTATGCTAATTAACGTCTTGATAAAATTTACATTAGAATAATTAAAGGATAAATATTGCTTACCAATGTTATTGAGCGACGTTAGAGCAGGATAAAAACAAAATATAATGCAAATGGTGGATCGTGGCGGATATATTAAACACTTTTTCAAAATTTACACTCCGTATTAATATCGGTATACCTTCAATTTTAATGACCATGATGTTCCTTGTACTAGGGTGAACTAATATGGATTGGTATCATCGGGGTACTTATATAGTCTGCCACTACCCGTAAATACGTCCTCTTGGGGTAGGGATGACGATTCCGAAATGTAGTGGGGCAGTAGTAACTATGTTATAAGAATTTGGAAAACGATTAATTAATGGTTCAACGCAAAACTGTTATTTCGAAAATATTAAATACACGATTGTTACAATTATTTATAATCATTGCAAAGTATTGTTTTTTTTTTTTTCTTTTTCTTTATTTTTTTGAAAATTTTGTATATATTGGCAATATCGATGTGAAACAGATCCTTCATAAATAGTATAATAAAACCATTTAAATGGCTTGGATGTAAGAAAAAAAGAAATGGTAAGAGAGAAAAAGATTACCGAGTTTATTAATAAAAATGACCTTATGAATAAAAAAATTAAAAAATGAAATTATGAATAAAAATGATTAAAACTTAATGGTAAGCTTAAGTAATTGTAATAATTGAATTATTGTCATTGAATGTTGTCAAAGTCTCGCGCGAAAATCAACAGTTTTATCGTATTTTCTTTTTCTGTTTCTCTCATTTGTCGGCAATTGTATGAAAAGAAAACGTTGACCTTAATTTTAATGTGCAAGAGAGCAATGGAATTATTCGAAAAATTATAATACCGAAGTATCCGTGGCCTTAGTACTATGTAAGTATAATGATTGCGATGATTTAATCATTATTTTTGTAAATTCGCCAATCGAAAATTTGCTCTGCATTGTAAGGATATTTATTAAACGTTTGCCCTCATGATCTAAGCCATGTCCATTGCTCGAAGTAATTTATATCGATAATAATGACAACGACGATTATAACAACAAGAACAATAATAACAACAACGACGACGACGACGACGACGACGACGACGACGAGTACGACAACGACAATATTAATAATGATAATATAAGAGAAGCACAAAGAGTATTAACATAATTAAAGTAATGTTGACAATGACATAAATACATAATGCAAGAAAAAGGACTTTTTCAGACTTTTCGCTGAATCTGCGCTGCAAAATGTACCTTGGCCTCGATTAACATTAAATTCACGGATTAATGATGAGACTCGGGTCGGACTCGTGTAAATGCGCGCGTGGCCTTAGCCACCTTAAATGCTCGGGATCGTAAGGAGGCGCATTAGTTTGTACGTAAAGCAAGGGGGGCTTTCCTTATCAAAAGGAAAACAAAAATGAAGATTGGACGCGGTATAGCGGGACGCGCATTACGCATTGGTGCGCACGTGCGGCTGGATAAAGGCCCCCGTAATGCCCCCGTAGCAGCCCCCTTATCGGCAAATGCGGGTGCTAAGCAATTCCCCCTATCTTTTCTTTTTCTATTTTTTTCTTCTTCTTTTTTCTTTTTTTCTTTTTTTTTATTTTATTTTATTATTTTTTTTTTTTTAACGATAGCGATCGCGCGCGGCACACGTCGAGCGCATGCGCAAGGGCTGCACACACGGGCATTAAGCAAATAAATTAAGGACACAGAGAACGAGGCGCGCCGGCCGACTGCCGCCCGTCTGACTAATTGCATTTTAATCAGCTTAGGAGCGGGGACCCCACTGGCCCCTGCTCCGATCTCGCTGTTTTATCCTTTGTCTGCGCGCGCGAAAATTCCAGCTAACTTAATGCGTCTTTCCAGCGTCTGTCTGGGAGATTACGATTTTTCATACCTAATGTTGCGGCGGCAACGTCAGGGTCCCTGGGGCCCTTGGCAGGTATATGCACGGCGGCCTCTGCAGTGACCTCCCTCCCAGCTGATACCGAGACGAGCTAATCGCCTTGTGATTTTTCGAGACACACGAGTTTATCACGATGCCGTCGTTCCGAACTTCCCTGACTCGTCTCGAGCGTGTGTCCGCCTCACCCCCTTCCCGGAACGTTATTGCGTCATTATTTGCGCAAGCCCTTGCCCGTTGTTAATCGCGCATAATCGCTCGGATGCGCGAATCTTGTCCACCCTCCCCCACCTCAATGTCAATTGGTCTCACTCGTTAAGGTCGAAGATTGGAGGGTTGGCGAGGGGGCAAGGGGGGACGAGGGTTTGGCGAGGGGGCGAGGGGGCGAGGGGCGATCGACAAGAGTATCGCGGGAGCTTTACGCCCTTCGACCATAGGCGTCGATGCGAGATCGAAGGAACTCGCGAGTCCGACATCCCAAAGTCCCAGTGTGGCCTCGTGCCGAGCTACGGCCACCGCACGGGGGAGAGACAATTTCTTCCTCATATTTCATGTGGCATGCTGCGATATTACGACCTTAAGGGACGTGCGAGTGCAAATGTCATTTTGAGTGGTAGTTTACAAAGGGAGTCATTTCCAATTGTGATTCAACTCTGGCTAGACAAAAGCACATAAATAATCACACGCTTCATCGGTATAAAAGCTTAATTATCATTTCCGCATAATTACTTTCAATTGACTGGCAAATGCTATTAAGCCAAACCCATAACTTATAGACGGAAATCCCATAGGCGCGCTTACCATTTTCACTGATATTCTCTCTTCAAAAACGTCGTGGCTCAACACCCGATCAGTACTCGACTTACATATAATATTGAACTGTTGATAAGAAACTTAATGATCCTCTCATTTATTCTTACTTCGAACCTTACTCTACGAAGGAATGATTTACGATTTCATCTAATTTTAAGATTTAATGTTTAATTGAATTTGAGGCATTGACGTTCCAAAAAAAAAAAAATATATATATATATATATATAAGCATTCTATTAATAATAATTATTGTAAACGTATGGACAGTAATTAAGTTTTTATTAATATAAATAAAATAATTTTTTTTATCGATTTATTGTCGTCTACAGTTATCATTGAAAATAAATTCATTTTATTGTAAAGACATTATTTATACATAATTAATTACTAAAATTCATAAACTAATTATTAATTTTCAATATATAAGAATACCGTGTTTTTCATCATCATCGGCATCATCATCATCTCTCTCTCTATCTATCTATCTATCTATCTATCTATCTCGCCTCAAATTAGGCAAATTACTCGATTTTGAAGTGAAGCTATAATTTAAATTATCATTTCATAAATTTAACTTATCTTGTATGACTTTGGAAATAGAGTTGTCACATCAAATTGATCGATTCTTTACAAACCGCATTAAGAGACTTAATTAAATTTTAATTAGTTGCCAACGTTATGCTTCCTTCCTTTTACTACTAATTAAAGAACATTAGCTTTAAAACCTTTTTTATCTATGTTCCTCGTCATATCGAAATCGAATTGATATGTGGAAATTTCACATAGGCAAATTCATACTTTTATAATATGAAAATACTTAAAATATATAATTTTAGTATGACATAAATTTTACTTCATAATGAATCAACCATAAACAGTTCAATAATATGGCTTAAAGAAAATTACAGGCATTTAAACGAACACAATTACTTTAAATTAATCGTTTATTTACAATACAATTTATGATGTATACTAGTCGTAACAGAATTTGTCTTTACGTCTAAAAGATATATATATATATATATATATATATATATAGAACGGCACAATGTATTATAGAAATTAAAAAGAATATTGATAAAATGTATGGTAGTTATAAATTTTTATAGTTTCAAACTCACATTCATACTATATTCTTATAAGAATTCAAATTCACAGTCCGAAATCATTTTTATTTTGAAAGCACATATATATTTATAGAAATAAAATTTCATACTTTCCACTTGTTAATTAAACGATTAGTGTTGTTTAACCAACGTGTATATAATACATAATTTTATTCTATTGCATTAGCTTATAATTTTAAATTAATTAACAATAAATGTAAGAAAAGAAATTATTTTCAAGACAACGCGCAAGTATTGTCCTGTATTAAAAGAATGTGAATATGATATGTTTGGACGAGGAGAGCCAATGCTTCTAAGGAGTACAGAAACAATTAGACATAATGATCAAGATTTAAGACTTTAGTAGTACATTACAAGTCGAATATTACATTTAAATTACAACCTACTCATTAGTGTCTCATTTATTTCATGTGAATTTAATATGACCGTAGACTATTTATTTTTAAGTTTTTCTCCCTTTTTCCCAAACAAATAATTTGCATATAAAAACTAGGCATATTGAATATTTCGTGTACGCCGTCTCTAATTAATAATTGGAACTTAATTTAATTTTTTTTTTTTTTATTTATTATAGTTTTCATATGAATATTTCTACCAATGCATCGAACATCAATAATAGTTTTATCGATATTTTTTAATATCAATAGTGTTTTTATCATTATAAATCTTTTTTTCTATATATATATATATATATATAT